GGAAGCAGATGAACCCATATACGGCGCCAACTGACATTGGCGTCAAAAACATGACACCAACAACCTTCCAGCCAACAAGAAGAGACCGGTAGCGATACGCCAGGGCCGTCGCAAGGAACACGCCGATGGAGTTGGGCGCCATCCACCACCAAGGAAACATGTTCAGGATGACCAACGGCTGGTTTCCGTAGTAATGATACACCCCCATCGGCAGCAGTATCTCCTCCACCACAAGGTCCGAAATCATCATCAGGCCGAGGAACCACCACAGCGTCTTCGTAGAAGCGTTGTTCACGAGAAGCTGGAGGTTGATTTGCATCAACGAGCCGTAGCCGAACCATATCGGAATCCAGGGCGGCATCTCGCGCCCAATCAGGCGGAAGGAGGCATTTTCTGCGGGCCAGAGGTAGTATATGCAGCCGAGGACGTCGATGAACGTCTCTGGGAAGGCAATCATGGCGCCGCTGATGGGTAGGATCAGCGGGAGGAGGCTGCGCTGCTTTTGGGCGTCGCGTGCGCCGAGGGCTACGGCCGAGAGCCCGATGAGTGTCATCGCTACCATGCAGATGATGTTGTTTGTTTTGGAGTAGGGAAGGTCCGTTGGTGGAGTGGGAAGATCGAAGTTGGCGTCGACATCGTAGTCGGGACTTCCTTTCTTGGGTAAGGGGTGATGGAACGCGCCGATGAACACCAGCACAGCCGTCATGACGATTCCCACAACCAAAGCTGAAGCTCGGCGAGGATTCAGCATCATGGAAGGATTTTAGGCAAAAGACTGCCTTTAGAGACGTTTGGGTGGAAAGGTAGAGTGTTGACGTGGTGCTTCACCTGGGCACCTATGGTTATGCCAGCAAACGGAATAATTCAACGTGCTTTAAGATGAAGACACGAAGCGCTTTAGACGTTATATAGAAGTTTCCGCAATTCAGAGCGGAAGCATCGGCATGTGGATAATTTCGAAACAGACCCGTCGCCACCAAGAAGACATGAGGTTAAGTCAACATCATATTCCATGCAATAGGCAGCTCGGCGCCGAGAGGCGGGCCACGATCCACAACACGCCGTCATTCTAGACCCACCTCGCGCCCGCAAAGACCCGTGGTCCGGACAGCAGAGATCGTTCCAAGTTTATTTGTTCATTCATTTGGTCTAGTCCAAGTCTCTGCCATTAATTGAATTGATTCACACAGCTAGCCAAAATTTCGATTCCTTACTACCGCGAGCTATCCGTCAAGGCCGATGTTGGTCCATTCCCCGAAGCATGCCTTCAGTTGAAAGATGAGAGATGCAAAATGAGACGTGACTCTAGGCGAACATGGGCGCCGTGATCTTTGCTCACTTCTGGGAAGAAAATTAGAGAACGTGCAGAGACCATAGGGAGAAATTTGCTCAAGAGAAATATGTACTCGCGATCAACGGTACATGAGGCGGCACTTATATTTGGAGTCGTTTGGCAGTTATCGACTCGAATGAAGCTGGTGCTCAAGGTTCAACTGCCTACATCGCCTCTCTGTAGACTTCAATGCAATCCAAGGAAAAGGTGCAATCACGAACACAGATTCATAGTGTCGTACTTCTGTAATTGCTAGGGCTAAATAAAGCGATCTCCCACACGTATTCAACCGTTTGCCCACGGAATGCCGGCGTTCGCCTCGTGAAACGAGGCTGGAATGAATGCTCTGCTTCCCCCGTTTTCGCTTCGTAACCGCGACCTAAGATGCAAATAAACCAAGTGTTGTTGGTGTCGTTATGCGCCATGCCTCTCCCCTAGTGGCTTGAAGTTCTTGACTTTACACTGACGTGGAACCCTTGAGGCTTGACGAACCACGCATTGTGCGTCTTCCATGTCCCTCCAGGCGCAGCAGCATCGCCCTCGAGCTTGAAATCGAAGTCGCGGATGATCCTAGGGATGAGCTTTGATATTTCAAGGATTGAAACGTTCTTGCCAATGCATGTACGCGATCCCAGTCCAAACTATATGGTAAAATCGGGTTAGAAGCCATGCATACCAACAAGACTAAAAGTGAAGGGCAAGACAAAGTGAATAGGGTCTTACAGGCATCCAATTTCTATTCATCACGGAGAGCCTCTTCTCGTCTTCAATTAGCCAACGGTCCGGGTTGAAGCTGTCAGCATCCTCTCCGAACAAGGCCTTATTTCTGTGCTGAACCCAGCCATTAATCCCAACAACGGACTGAAAAGAAGCACGCACGCGTCAGTGAATCATAGATACCTCATGATATGCGGATTGGCCGAAGAACATGGAGAAGACATACCCCTGCAGGGAAGAAACGTCCGGCGATAGTGACGCCGCCCGCGGGAACGATACGTTCTAATGGCAGTCCGACAGCGGGATGGACGCGTAAAGCCTCCTTGATGACTGCTTGGAGGTAGGGCATCTTTTGGCTTTCCTTGAATGTCGGTGACTGCGACAGCTCCCCGCGGCTAGTAAAGTCTGCGAGCTCTTCGCGTAGCTTAACCATAGTGTCGGGGTTCTTGAGTAAGTTGTAAAGAATAGCAGAGATACTTATGCCGGTGGTGTCAGACCCGGCGACCATATTGGACATACAACCGTTCAGGAGATGCCATTGTGTGAACTCGTCGGCGTTGCTGGAGTGCTTAGCCAGGAACTTGGTCAGGAACGCTTCTCCAACGGCCACACTGTATTCGTCACTCTTGACGTTGATGACCGGCTTTGGTGACGCTTTCTCCTCCTCGATGGTTTTCGCCGTAAAGCCCAAGACATATAGCAACTTGGCTCCCATACTCAGACTCGGAACGACCTTGTTCAATATCGGTGTGATGTACGTGTGCACGAACGGAAAGATACCAGCTAAACTCATGTAGACCAAGCTCTGGTTGAGGTTGTCAATGACGTGAGCAACGTCTTCGCCGCGGTCCAGGAACCCAAGACGCTTTCCATAGGTCATCAGCGCAATGGTGTCGAAAGCGTAGCATTGGAACCAATGTCTAGCATCTATTATCGCCCCACCTTTTGAGAACTCGGAAAACCGCTGCGCAAACAAGGCGGTGCACTCGTCCACGTACGGCTCATAGCTAATAAGCGACGTCATAGAGTATGCGTTCGTGTAGAACCGTCTATTACGCGCATGGCGCTTCGTCGATCGCTCCGAGAAGAGATTCCAAAGCTCTTCGTTAGGCTGGAACGAAACGTACCACTCCGACTTTTGAAACTCTGTGCCGTGGCCATAGACCGTTTTAAGGGCTTCCGCGTCGTTAATGCTGTACCGGTTTGGGCCATAGCGAACGATGGGGCCTGGAGAGAAACAGGAAAGGTAAGTAGCTATGATACTGGCAGCTGCTTGATGCTCCTACCGTATTGCTCGTGTAGCTTCTGATTCACCTTCTCAAAACCTCCTTGTTTGAGGCGGTGGAAATACCAAAAGTCGGTGAAGCGAGCCAGCGAGGGGCCGGGTACTGATCGCAATGGGGAGCGAATCCACCGCACAAAGGAATAAAGAATCTCTGCCAGCAATGCAAAGGCTGCAGCGGCCAGTACTAGTTGGACGCTCATTGCAAGGATATATGACGGAGACAAAGATGAAGCTTTTAACGCTGATTGATAGAGCACCACACTCTGTCCAACTGGTGACTTTGAGGCCTTCCTGAGCAAGGGAAGGATACCAGCTAAAGATACTTATGCTGGGCATACCGGATCCGTATTTTGGGGTGAATATGCATCATCACCGCTTATTAAGTCGACATGTACGCAATCAGTCCGCAGCCCATCTTAAAGTTAAACCTGTAAAGGAATATGGCTTACAACTATCATGGGTGCTTCACTTGGGACGAGTCATAGATGATGTTGGGATGCAGAACTATGGAGACGTCTCGGCACCGAAGCCCTGCATACGTTTACTTCGGTGAACTGAAAAGACTATGCTTCCAGTGGAATCGAGAATCCGAACACCTATTGTAGGAGAGATGCCATCCAAGGATTTGGGGTTTCTTGGCGTTAAACCAAGAACCATTGATCTTTGCCGTTGTGTTAAGGGGTTTCGGCGAGACGACAGGACCCGGATTTCAAAGTTGTCCGAAACCGACATGCGCCCAGCAACATAACATGCCAGACAGCGCACGGCGGGCCGGGAAGCGAAAGGCGGTAATGGGGTAGGTCTCGGAGTTTGTCGTCGCCGCTGACCGTGGTGGACCACCACTGTCGGCATGCGGCAAATTTCCAAGAATACGGAACAGTGGATTCATAATGATACTAGTGGTCTGTACCATTCGTACTGGTTCTCAACCCGAGGCTATGCGGGGAAACTCCGCAAAACTCCCTGCTCATATTTTCGATCGAGTGGGACGTTGACAGCCTCGGGGAGGAGGCTACTAAGCGAGGACCTCGTACTCGCTCATCAGATCGATCGCCTTACCGATCCTCCGACACATTATCACCTCCCCACAGGTAGTCGTGGCGATTGAGGTTTCCTGCTAGGACTGCGTCCGCCCTTTAACCTGTCCACCTCGGACACTCGCGATGGCCCGCTTCAGCAGGTCGCACGCCTGTCGAAGCATGTCCGGTCTCTCCGCCGGTATACACCGACGCCACCAGCAGTCTTCGATCTGGCAGTCGGGCGACGGCCACCTCTTCCGTCTCTACGTTTTTGTCCACTTCAACATTGAGACAGGCGTGGATCTGCCTGGGAAATATTAGTCAGGACGCGCGCGCATCAGTCTTTTGAGACCTTCACCGCGCGCCTGGTAACGCATGTAGGAACAGCCGCGCGCAAAACCTCTTGACTGTGCGCTATTTTCAGTTCTGCCGACGGATTTCGGGAAGGGCAAAGAACACATCTATCAGTGGCATATTCTTTCGACCTGGGGAACGATCAAGATTCATCGTTTTCGCTTGCGTCTATATAGTTCGTCCCGACTCCATCCAGCCTGATCATATGTGTTCGTCGATTGGCATCTTTGGCACCTCGTTCTTGCTACTTTTCTAAATCAACTACTTCGTGCATCCCAGTCACTGAGACATCATGACCATCTCCTCCGATTCAACCGCGCCTCTTATTGCCGTCGTTGGCTCAACAGGCCTGCAGGGCGGCAGTGTCATCAACAATCTAGCGCTGTCGGACAAGCCGTACCGTATTCGCGGTCTCACTAGAGATGCGAAGAAAGACAAGGCTCAGGCTCTTGCGAAGCGGGGTGTCGAGGTTTGGACCGTTGATCTGTCCGCCGACAACGCTGAAGGAATCCAAAAGTCATTCCAGGGTGCCACCTATGTCTTTGTAAGGCCGCTTCTTCCCGGGTCGCTGCTGTATTGTGATGCGTCGAACGCGTGCTAATTGCCAAGCCTGAAGATCATGACCAACTTCTGGGAGCATGTCGACAAAGCCCGTGAGATAGCCGAGGGCAAAGCCTTGGTTGAGGCAGCCCACAAGGTCGGAGTCAAACTGCTCCTAGTCTCCTCCGAACCCAACGCTACAAGCGTGACAAACGGAAATCTTACAAAGGTCTATCATTTCGACTCGAAGGCGGAAATCTCCGACCATGCGCGAGCCTTGGGTGTGCCGTTCGTCGACATCCACGCCGCTGGGTACATGAACAACTTCACTACGTTCAGCCATCCCAGACCTGCTGGAGATGGTTCTTATGTTGTCGATGGCACCTGGCCTGAAGACTTTCGAATGCCGCTCCTCGACACCTACCATGATTTTGGTCTGTTTGTCCAGCTGGCTATCGAGTCAGATGAATTCAACAGGGGAGATGGCAAAACCATCTGGGCCTATGGGGACCAGGTCACTATCCCCGATCAAGTGAGGAACATCTCCACAGTCACAGGCAAAAAGATTGCATACAACAAGGTTACGGAGGAGCAAAGCAGGGCGGGTATGGTGCAGGCTGGCCTTCCACCCTTTGTTGTCGATGACATGATCGAAATGTTCAAATTCCATGAGGTCTGGAACTCCGCCTATGCGGCCGGAAGTCACATCGAGCCTGCCAAGCTGGCACGTCGGCCGCGCACTTTCAAGGAATATGTTGAGAATGAGGTCTGGAGTGCCGTATTCTTGTGATGCTGCCTTTTCCGACGGACGGTCAAAGACGGAGGAGATCGAGGGATTTGTACAGCAATCTTGCGACATCAAAGGCAGAGGGCAGGAAGGGGGGCTCATTTGATAGATGCGCGAATTGAGAGGCTCAAATGATTTTATTCTTTGTGTCTTCAGCTCGATGTTCTAATCGCCATAAGCAAATAGAGACATGGCATTTCGCTATTCAATTTCACAGTCTCATGTTCACGTTCTCTCACCCAACCCAAACCCTATCTTCTCTCCTCATCCACCGTCCAAGAACACCTCAACTCAATGTACCATCCCAGATTTGCGGATACATTTCGAAACAAGGGTTGACAGAAAGGTAAGCAGCATTAAATTCGCCTCGGCTCCGGTTGTCAGGCCGCACCAAGGCGTCCATTAGTCTCATGACTTGGTACGCTCCTCGATCTGCGCCGCCTGGATGTTGGCCTCGAGCTTTTCATCAGTGATGCTCGGGGATCTCGCGCGCCCGGCCGTGACGACGTCGCGACCGCGCATCTGCGCCCACACGGTCTTGTGCGTGGGCTGCATGAAGAGGGCGTCCATGTCTTCGAGGGTCAAGCCTGTGGGTATGTGGTGTCAGTGACAAATCAACAGCGATAGGATTTGAGACAAGAGTGAGAGAAGGAGGGCAAACGCACCCTTGGTCTCTGGGACGAAGAAGAAGGCCCAGATGCCCATGAGCATGAGGATGCTGCTGAAGAAGAAGTAGGCGCCGTAGCCCAGGTCGGAGATCATATACGGAGTGGAGCGCGCGATGATGAAGGAACCAAGCCAGGTTGTGGCGGTGGTGATGGAGACGGCAAGCATTCTGATCTCGAGGGTTTGTACTTCCGAAGCGTAGAGCCAGGTGATTCCCTGCCATGTGGCGCAGATGATCACACCTGTGAGATGCGTCAACAAACTAGAGGGACAAAATGCTAGGTGCGCAAGGTCTTACCGTTGATGTACACGCAAACCATGGCCAAATATGACCAGCCATCCCGGATGATAACTCCAGCAGCCGCTCTGGCGGCAGGATCCGCGCCTGAAGAGGCAAGTTAGCTTCGTCAAAATCGAACAGAATCATTGTGAACTTACGCATGACGTAGCCACCGATGTACCACATCGGAATGCATCCAAGAGCCGAGCCCCAGATAAGACCCTTCCGTCTACCAACACGCTCGGCGACCCAGAAAGTGAACAGGAACATGCCAAAAGTCTTTGCGATGCCGTAGAAACCGGTGGAGAAGAGCTTCGTTGAGGTTCCCGTGATACCAAGACTCTCAAAGATGCGAGGGGCGTCTGTTTCGTATGCATCAGAGGATGAAATTTGAAGTGAGGACTTTGAGGATACTTACAATAGGTAATAATGTTGACTCCAGTGAAACTTTGCAGGAACATGAGCGCCATTCCGAGTCCCATTCTGTTGCGGATACCCTTCTGGAACAACTTCTGGAACATCTGCTTCTTCGTCAAGCGGTTATTCGTGCGCTGCTCAACCTGCGTGCGGATATCATTCATCTCGCGGCGGATATACTCGTGGTCTGCAGGCAAGCCCCTCAGCTTCACCAGAATCCTCTCAGCAGCGTCAAAATGATCGCCCCTCGCCAGCCAGCGCGGGGACTCGGGGCACCAGATCATACCCAGCGCAAGCCCCAAACCGGGCACGAGCTGGAGGCCGAGCGGGACGACCCACTGCGCGTGGTTGTTGACGTTGATGGTGCGGTCGGTGGCGTAGTTGATCCAGAAACCGAGCATGCCGCCGCCCTGGGAAGCGATCTCGAAGATGCCAACGAGGCGGCCGCGGATAGAGGGCGGCGCGGTCTCAGCGATATAGACGGGAACGGTGAGCGAGGAGGCGCCGATGCCGAGGCCCGCGATGGCGCGGCCGGCGTAGATCATGTTGAGGCTGCCGCGGGCGGCGGTCATGAGGGTGCCGCCGAGGAGGAAGACGGCACCGGCGAGCATGACAGTCTTGCGGCGGCCGAATTTCTCGGCGATGGGGAACGTGAAGAGGGCGCCGAAGAAGCATCCGGCCTGGGGAAGCGGTCAGCTTGAGGTTTTCAGGGGCAGGATGGGTTTTGCGTACCTGGAAAGTTGAAACGATGTTGCCTTGGATGGTATCTCTTGCAGTGGTGCTGACTTCGTCGAGGTGGAAATCGCGTCGGAAGGAGTCCAGCGCCATGGTTCCGCCAATGACGGCCGTGTCGTATCCCACTGGAATCCGGAGTCAGCCATTTGTCTCTAGGTCCGATGAACGCCGTGCTTCGGGTCCGAATGATCCACTTTTGGCGGCGTGGCTCCCGAAACGCGGCGGCGCGGGCCGGTCGCAAGCCTCAAACCTTATCTCAGGCAAGAGGCGCAGCGCTGAAGTGTTCTAGAACACCGCGAGGCAGGCTGTCCGCAACCTCAAAGAAAAGGAAAATCGATGACATACTGGCCAAGGCCGACATGCTGGCAACCAGCGCAATCAAGTGGATGCGCCAGTTCCGCACCTCGGGGGGATCAAGCGTCCCTGCCGCGTGGGTGCTGAAGAAGCCCATGCTGGGCGATCGAGGCGCAAGTGGCGCGGGAACGGCGCGAAAATGGCTGGTTTCGTGGGTCTCGTTTGGCAGCAGAAGTACGTAAGGAAGAGAAGACTCGGCAAGCCCCCAGAAACGTGGAACGTGGTTACGTGACTGAACACGAAAGGGACCCGAACCCACGGACGGCGGGGTGGAGGGGACGCAAGCTTTATCTATGCCAACTGCGGCGTGCCCACCCAAAATAAGCTTGATGTACGCTCCGTCGAATGAAAAAACATGTTTTGCGACATTGTTGTGGAATGATCAGGATCAGCGTCGTCTACCCCGCGATGACCCCCATGGGGAAAAAACTGGGTGCATGGCCTGTCGTTAAAACCTGCCGTTGGTAGGGCAGAGGGCCTCCACCCAGTTGCGCGCGCTGCAGCTGCTGGCAAGCAGAAAATGGAGAGAAGAATGGGAAGAGAGGTGCTTCTAACCAGACAATCATGTTGGCAATTAGACCCCTGCACAGATGGGTTGGCAGACACACACCTCCGCAGACTTGGCGTCAGCAGATGTGTGGATCAGCCAAGAAGAACGCCGAGGAAGACGAGAGGGGGGAGGGAGGGAGGGAGGGTAACAGACATCCGTTTTATTTCGTCTGAATTCATCTTCTAACTTTTCAGCCCAGCCATATCCACTTTGTAGAGGTTTACAAATTGCGCCACAATATTAAATAATCTATTTACACTTTGATAATTAAATACCTGCATGCTATGTACGACAGTTAGGAAATCTTCAATCCAGGTTTGCAACAATATTGTCAAGAACCTCAACGTCCTACAGGATTTCGTCTGAATTCGCCAGAGAGCAATGGGGCATGCAAAATAGAGTTTGACAAGACAGAAGGTTATTTTCACGTCCCGAAGCGCTGCTCGCTTGGGCCTCGTGGACGTTGTCTCCACGGACAATGCACCATGCACCATCATTCGCCGCTGTCAACAGATGAAGCGCCAAGTCACCGTTCCGTAACATCTGGGATTGCACAGCCTCATTTTACGAGATTTGCAGAAGACGTGACAGGAAAACCGAGAACGATCGCTCATGAAGTTTTGAGAGGCGGTCGCACGGATGGTGGCGGGGGAGCCAAGACCGAGATCTCTCACAAAACGTACGTTGGGACTGTTGTCTTGATAAGACTCAGGTGGCTATTTGTGAGAAGCAATGTTTTACGAGGAAACGAAGAACGTGTCCGCGGAAATGCGGAGGTTTCGCACTGAGAGAATGTCTTTAGTCACTGATTCCGGGGCAAGCGAGAAACATTTGCAAAAGTAAAACCCGCGCGTGGTCTTCTGCATGGGACGGAGACCAGATATATGACCTGGAGTTGGGCTTCAATCGAGTTCGTGGATCGTGGGATGCAGGCTGATGGCAGCGCTAAACCGTGATGGAACGCCGAGACGAAAAGCGCCGGAGGAACTCGGGGGCTTCAGACGTCGGGCGCGCGCACTCACCTAAGATTCCCAACGCCCGGATCTCAAATCTGAGGTGTGATTCCCGAGCGTGACCCTCACGGGCGTCCGGGTCCAAGGATTCGGGAGACAGCTTTCGGGGGAGGAAGATGGTGAGAAGAGGTGGTCGGTTCTCGGTTCTGGCTCGACGTCGGATGGAAGATGTGCGGGCGCGACAGCAGGGCCGTGGACGGAAGCCGGGGTTGGCCAGCGCCGGGGACATGCACCTCCCGGGGCTTGGATCCGTCCCGCCCAACCTCCCTCCTCGGTAGTCAAGTTTGACTTCCGAGACCACGCGACGCCGCTGCGCTGTCAAGAACGCGGCTCTCCGCAGCCTATCATAACTCCCGAACACCTCGGCGGAGGATCCCAAAGCTGGTGATGGCGCTGTCTTGGTGTTCTCTTGGCTGCTTGTCCATCTCGTTCAGATCTGGCTTGCGGCGGGCATGCAGGGCTTTTTGAACCTCCTCGCTAACCGCCATGGTGGATTCAAGCTTCCTGTTGCACCAATCAATGTCACCGCGCCCCCAGGTTCTTCTGGCTCCCTTACCCCGGAACCACAATCACTTGACGTTTTTCTCTGGCGAATCGTGTCATTGAGCGGTGGTCGGTCGTTGTGTCGCATCGGTTATTCCTGCCAGACTGTCGGATACCATCATTTAAATGTGTTTCCCTCTTGATTTTCATTGCAGACAGTGTGCTCAGCCACCCCCGGTCTGGGGTTTTGATTCCCCCTCACTTGCAAGCGCGACTTGGCGACTTGGCGACTTGGCACGGATTTGCGACGGTTCGTGGGGGCTGCTTTTCCGTTGGAGTGCATCAATTTTCTCTGCCGTCAACTCGCCGGTATGTTGCGAATTGGGTCTAAATAAATATGTTTTGCATTGGCTAAGTCTAAAGAAGTCTGCTTATCGAACGATGAAACAATTGAAGTTGTGTCGGTTGACAATAGCAGCTCGGAGCGGTGCAAACAAAAATACGGCATCATTTCATCTATCTGTAGATCCACATTTCCGGAGGATCCAAGGCGGAGACGGACCTCGCCGTCTCGGAAGCCAATTCTGGTTTTCGGAGGCCAGATGCACGCCGGATTTATGGAGCCCGCCTCCGGAAAATGTCCACCGATCCGGCTAATGGGAAAGTTGTCCATCAACATAGATGCGCCCACACACGATTTATTGGACTTGAGAGCGCATCCAAGACTCTAGGAGCGTGACATCCAAACAGTGGTCTAGGGAAAAATCGAATCTAAACCTTCCATCAGCAAGGCTCGATGTTTCCCCTCACGACCAATAAGAGTTGACTCATCTTCGGTGACAGAATCAGGATAAACGGCAGTACCAATACCACAGTTGCGATTCGCTCCGGAAGGAAGGTGAAGTTTCCTCACTGTGAAAAAGCTGCGATGAGAGATCATCACGCGCACCCGAGAAACGCCACTGCCGTAATCTCAGGTGCGGAGGATTGCCTTGGCGACGAAGCGACGCCCAGGGTCTGCTCAGGAAGGTGTTGCACAGTTGGGGTTTGGGGTCAGCCTCCCCTCCCACTTCCCCACGGAAGTTCACCGACGGAGTGTGGTTGTTGGTGAATATGGCTGCATTTTGTAGCCATACAGCAAACAAATGCAGATCTCGTGAGACATTTCCAACTCTTGCTTGACCTTATGTCAGAGGATGCCCCAAGGACTCTCGGGATGTGTCGCCGAATCATGGCAAGCTAGCAGACTTGTGTACCGCCAATCATGGGAGATGGCTACTTTCATTCACTTCTCCAGCAACTTCTTGCAAGAACAAGTAGGTTGTTCATGGTGTGGCTTGTGGCGGTGTCTCCAACAGCCACCATGTCCCTCTTCCCGACCGAATTCAATTGGCATGACTAAACTGCTTCAGGGAACGTCCAGCGCGGGGATGGGCCTGCGAGTCAGTGCACACACACCGCAACCCCAAAAAGGGCCCCCTGAAAATTTTCGCTCTCCGCAGTTCATCCCCACATCGTGGAGTCTGGTTCGGAGAGAGGGGACGCCCACCGAAAGGGGGAACCGGCGGAAAACATCGAATGGAATGGTCCCCGCCTCCATCCTCCCCCGCGCTCCTTTCCCCAGCTCTGTCGCCTTGCTTCACCCACTGAACGAGCTACCTACACTGCCTACCAGACACGGCAGTTTGACTTTTGAACCAGCGCTGTGAGCAGGATCCTTAGGCCTGAGGGAGGTAGGACGGCATACACCTCAGTTGATCCAACGGGCTGTGGGACTGAGGAGGAAGAGGGAAAAGAGAATGTCCGCCGTCGCCGCCAACGAGGAGCCCGCCCGCGACGACCGCAATTGCAAGCATGCAGGAGACTAGCGGGCCGTCCTCGGCTCTGCCAAGTTACTCCCGACCACCGAGGAGATCAGTGAGGTCCCGGGAAGGGTGCTTGACCTGCAAGTGAGTACCTACTCCCGTCAACCACACACCTTCACTTGTGGGATCAGTTGGAAACTTTCCATCCACCCCTTGCTAACGTCGCATCAACCAACCCCCCCATAGACGCCGCAAAGTGAAATGCGATGAGTCGCGGCCCCGATGCAGCCATTGCGAGCGCTTGAATCTGGAATGCAAGTGGCGGCCGCAGTCCAACAGCACCGCCGCACACGCAACCCTGGCCGCCGCCGTCCCTGCCGGCGCCCGCAGCCCGGCCATGCGGTCCCACGCCACCGATGCCTCCGTCTCGCCCGCCGCCTCCATGTTCCAGCCCATGCAGGCCGTCGACGAGATCTTCGACTACGCCAGCTTCATGTGGGACACTGGCGATGTCTGGCAGCAGGCTCCCGAGCCGGGTCAGCAGATGAGCCTTGATGGACAGGTTCTTGTAAGTTCACTTCACCTCTTACTGATGAGTCACTCGACTCTTAACGAAACATGTCACTGAACTATCACAGCGACCTCAATATGCTGCCCAGCCAGTGATTGGCAGACCAACGGCGCTCATGAGCAGCCCTCCCGACCTCACCTTCCCGGACCGGACTACCATGGACGACCTCCCGGACCCGTCGCCCATCCCCGACGCTAGCAGCCAGTCAGAGCAGCACGCCATGGCCCTGCAGGTGCCAACCGAGGACGACAGGCTCATGGACTACTTCAGCCGCGTCGTGGTCCCGCCCATCCTCGCCGAGGTCGAGACCCAGAAGAAGTGGCTCGCCATCCGCCAGGTCGTCGTCGACATGGCCGGCGCCTCGCAGATGGTCAAGTGGGCCGTCCTCGCCTTCTCCAACCTCATGCTCTCGCGCCGCGAGGGCGCCTGGCTCGCCAGCCCCGAAGACCACTACCAGAAGGCCATCGCCGAGGTCGCGGCGTACGGGGAGGACTCGTCCCCGCGAGACGACAGCCGCAGCTCCCGGCGAGAGCACCTTCTCGCGACGCTCTTCTTCCTCAGCTACGTCGACATCCTGCGCGGCTCCATCAAGGCGGCGGACTCGTTTCTGAAGCGCGCGTACGGGCTTTTCCAGCAGGGCGAGAAGAGCAGCTTCGCGGCTATCGAGAAGCAGTTTCTGCAGTGGATGCGCCTCCTCGACGCCCGCGCCGTTTCAGCTGGCGGCCAAGGCCTTCTCCTGTCCAAGGATGACGAGCTCTTGCTGGTGGAAGCATCGCCGGCCAGCTTCGACGGCGGCGTTGCCGACTCGTCCAAGGAAGACCTGGCCGAGGGCGACATCGAAGACGTCCTCTTCCAGGTGATGTACCAGCCCGGCATCGTCTTCTTCCAGAAGGTGCAGAGCTTCATGGGCCGCATATCCAAGATCGACCCGTGGCACCGGTCGCGCGGCACCGTCGAGGACGAGACGGAGGTGATGAACATTGGCGCCGCCATCGCCGCGGACCTCCGCACGCTGTACGAGCAGCGGCCGCCGCTGATGGACTACGCCGTGGCCGGCAAGCTGACAGAGCCGCACGTCTCCGCGCACCTCGCCTTCGTGATCACGCGCGCGTTCCGGACGTACCTCGCCAACTACCACGCCAGCAAGGTGCACTTGCACCGGGTGGCATACAAGACCTTTCCCCTAACTAAGGAGGCGCAGGAGGCGCTGAGCCAGATCCGGCGGCTGGCGCGGCTGCTGGTGGACTCGCTGGACGCCGACAACTCGCTGCCGGTGAACATGCTGTGGCCGCTGCTGATGCTGGGCTCCGAGGAGCAGGACCCGGCGGAGAGGCTGTGGATCAAGACGCAGATCCTGCGGATGGAGAAGGTGGCCGGGAATGCCAAGATCACGGCGCAGGTGCTGGAGGAGGTGCAAGCCAGGCAGGACAGCGAGAAGGTGCGGGTTGATATTCGGTCGGTGATGCACGCCATTTTTAATTCTTGCTTCGCGATTGTTTGAGGGGAAGTTCACCTATGGAATCGGCCCTTTTACGGCGAAATGGGGGAGATCATGGTGTACTACGAGATAAGGGAATATGAGCTCGCAACGCGAGCCCAGCCGAGGTGGACATTAGCTGTCTTCTGTTAGATACCCAGTATGCTGTTTCTACGTATGTATTGTTTGTTTTGATCACTGCATCTGTCTGTATTCTCTCGATCGACTTCCTCGAGCACTTTCCGAGATACGCGCCGGCGACAATTTGTGGTGTTCATCCGCCTCGCCGCGTCGGTTCCGTCGTTATGATTCCGTCGGACGCTAGCCCAGGTACCCGACGCGATGCCGATCGGAAGACCCACTCCGGCCCCGCGACGGATCCACTCCCTCGGGTACTTTACTCAGCGGCCGTGCCCAGGCGGCATCCGACACCATGAAATGGACGGTCTCAAACTTGTCCGGGCAGATGACCGATGGTAGCAAGGGTCTTCGAAATGGCGGAGTAGTTCTCACGCCATGTTGTGGCCCCAGACCAACTTCTGCCTCCTCCACGTTCCACGCGACCCTCGCTCAATTCGATCGGGTTATGCCCGTGGGGAAAAACGAATTGTCGGCTTGTCGGAAAGTCGTCCACTTTTCTGAGAGCCCTGCGATGGTGACACGAAGGCGCGCGGGGTTGGAGGGGTCAAAGGCCCCCGAGCAACGGAGCTTGACGCGTACTTGTATCGAGCATCTCCAGCCAAATCTGTAGAAAAAAACTTCTTCTCCTCTTCTAACGATCCTGCAAACTCCGTTTCTTTTTCGGCCAAGTTTTGATTCATTCCCCATCATCTCCACCCTTGCCCGTCTATCCAATCTTCCACAATGGCCGCCAAGTCCTTCCCCCCCGGCATCCACGTCCCCAGCTTGACCTGGTTCGCCGACGACTCCAACCAGGAGATCGACTGGGCCGTCCAGACCAAGCATATTGAGTTCCTCGTCAAGTCTGGCCTCCACGGTGGTAAGCCGCCTCATGCCTCCCTCTTTTACCATGAAGCCACATCTCTAACAGCCCGCAGTCGTCCTGGCTGGCACCAACGGCGAGGCCGTCACCCTGACCGCCGACGAAAAGACCGCCCTCGTCCAGAAGACGCGCGAAATCGCCGTCGCCGCCGGCCGCCCCGACCTCACAATCACCCTCGGCTGCGGCGGCCAGTCCACGCGCGCCGTCATCGCCGAGACGCACCTCGCCAAGGCCGCCGGCGCCGACTACGCCCTCGTCCTCGTCCCCTCCTACTTCCACTTCGCCATGAACGAGGCCGCCATCGTCGGCTTCTTCGAGGAGCTCGCCGCCGCGTCCCCGGTCCCCATCATCATCTACAACTTCCCGGGCGTCGCCGCCGGCCTCGACGTCAACTCGGACATGCTCTCCCGCCTCGGCAAGCACCCCAACATCGTCGGCGTCAAGCTCACCTGCGGCGGCATCGCCAAGGTCGCGCGCGTGCGCGCCGAGTTCGACCCGAGCGAGTTCTTCGCGCTCGCCGGCCAGAGCGACTGGCTCGTCCCCGCGATGGCCGTCGGCAGCACGGGCACGATCACCGGCGTGGCGAACCTGTATCCCAAGTACTGCATCGAGATCTTCGATCTGTACAACGCGGGCAAGCTGCAGGAGGCGACTGCGGCGCAGCTGAAGCTTGCGCAGATGGAGTGGGCGTTCGGCAAGGGCGGGATTAACGGCACCAAGTGGGTGGTGGCCAAGTCGCTGGGCTACCCACTGGCGAGCTGCCACTGCAGACGGCCGTACCCGCAGTACACCGACGCGGAGAAGCAGGCGTGGATCGCGGATCTGGTTGCGCCGTTGGCGGAGGAGGAGGCGAAGATCAACGCCCGTGCTTAAGTTGTGTGTGGGGAAAAAAAACAAAAATAATGGCATGAAATGGCGTTTTTGGGGATATTGTCGTTAGACTTACAGCAAAGAGATAATGAATAGACGCTGCTATGAGACAATTTGCCTTGGTTCGTAAACTTCTGGGATTGCCTTCGGTTATGATTGGAACTCGGTTCTGTGAATGGCCTTACCGGGAGGGTGCTGACTGACTTTCCCTTTGTTGGTTGACGAGCCTTTAACCTGGTCTGACTTGAGCTGTCTCGAAACGCCTTGCTGTGGAATGTAAGTTAGCCAGACAGTTGCCAACAATTTCCTGTTTCGCTCAATCTTGGTTGGTATTCAGAGTAGATGATGGATTAAATATCCAACGCCCATGCCTCATTTCGTGGTAGTGAGCTAGATACGAAGTGCTCATGACTGCACAATGAGCTTGTTCGTGATGCCAAGGAAGTCCGATGAAATCAATGCGACCATAGTGTACGCTTCTTCAGACACACGGTCACAGACAACTAACATGAACTTCCTCAATTCTTGCCATAAAGTCTCGAATCGAATAATTCTTGATGTGGTTTATCTCAACATTGTGGTATCGCATTATTAAACACACTTTCCTCCCATCATTGTTCGGGCCTCATGTCTCAGCCACAAACTGGCGTTACAAATCCTAATCATTCAACAAATATCTACACATCTTCTGTGTGCTCACTTCGCTTCGCCTTGTCGATATCGTCGAAAGCAGTGTCGACGACCTTGGTCGATGGTTCCGGGCGGGCGTCATGTGCGTAGCCACTGCAAGGCAATAAGTCAGTATACTTGAAAAGAGAAGGATCCAATAGGGCACAACGTACAAGATGACATCCATCTGGTCCATGGTAAGACCCTTGGTCTCAGGCAGGAAGAAGAAGGCCCACAAGGTCGCCACAATCATCCACGCGGCGAAGAAGAACCAAGTCGCATATCCGAACGAGCTGAAGATGTACGGAAGCGCCTTCGTGATGGCAAACTGGGTCGCCCAAACAACCAGGGCGGCATACGTTCCGGTGAAGTTGCGCAGCGCGCCGGGGAAGATCTCGGCCGAGACGATCCACGGAATACCGTTGAGCCCGAACGACCAGCAGATGGAGTAGATCATGATCATGCCCGTGGCCGCCCTGCCGCCCGCCGCAGTCGAGGCAGAGAGCTCCTTGCCGGCGGCGATGATGTCGGCCGGGTGGCCGATCTTGACGTACGCCCCAACGACCCACAGGCAGAGCGAGCAGACGAAGGACGAGATGATGGCGGGCCAGCGGCGGCCGAGCAGGTCGATGAGGAAGATGAAGTAGATGATGGAGGCGATGGCCTTGATGAGGCCGTAGATGCCGGTGTAGAGCGCGACGTCGGTGATGCCGATGGACGCGAAGAGCGTCGGGGAGTAGTAGTTGATGGCGGCGGCGCCGGAGAGGTTGTTGAGGGCGAAGGCGCAGAAGACGAGGACGAGGCGGTTCCACATGCCCTTGCGGCAGAGGGTGCTGGCGACGCCGCGGAAGTAGGCCCACTGGCCGGTGCCGTAGGCGCTGGCGACGGCGGCTTCTTCGTCCATCTTCTTTTGGAGCATGTCAACCTCCTCTTGCATGTCTGTTCATTGGTTCAGTCAGCAGTTGGTTCCGGATCTGGGACTAAGAGGAGCTTACACTTGTGATCGATGGGGAGATGTCTGATCGACTCGAGAACCTTATGCGCCTGCTCCGTCTTTCCCTTGCGCATCAGCCAGAGAGGACTCTCGTGAATGAAGAAGCAGCCGATGAAAAGAATGCCGGAAGGTACAAGCTGGAAAGCCATCGGGATTCTCCAGCTAGTTGCCGAGTTGGGGTTGATGTTCTGCGTGATGCCGTAGTTGATCCAGAAGCCGATGACGGAACCGACCTGGTAGGCGACTTCAAAGAGACCGGTGAGGATGCCGCGGATCGAGGGGATCGAGAGTTCACCGATGTAGGAGGGAACGGTGGCCGTGATGCCACCGCATCCGATTCCCGTCAGCGCTCGACCCGCATCTGAACACATAATGTTAGTCACTGTGAAAAGACAACAGACGTGAGTGCTTACATACAGATATAAGACAGCTGGTTTGTCGCGGCAACCATGAGAATGGCGCCGACGAGGAAGATGACGACGTTGGCTTGCAGAGTCCATTTTCTGCCCAGACGCTCAGTGACTGGGACATGTCAGCTCTTGTCTGTTTGGCTAGAAGGAGGTCATCATACTGAAGAAGCAAAGCAACGCGCCGCCGAGAGCACCAGCCTGGAACGCCGAGGTGATGTTACTCGAGATGTTGTTGGAGTTCTCCGAGGTGATTCCAAAGTCTCTCTTGAACCCCGTTCGTGCGATCGTGGTTCCGATGAAAGCGGAGTCGTAGCCGAATCTGATAGACGTTAGTTGTGCTAACCTTGGAACAAAGCCTCGGCATATCGTACAGCAAAGATCCGGTTGCGATGATGGAAGCCTCAATGTAGAGACGCCAGTTGTAGACCTCCTTCGGCGTCGGCCGATCCTCGACAGCCTTGAAACCACCCATAATTGCGTTGCTGCGGTGCGAAGAGGTGGTCGTAGCGGGTGTGAGTTTGTCAAAGACGTTGGAAGCCGTCCGATTGATTATCTAGACTTCAAAACGCACGGGGATCACACTTTTTCCGGGGGCAGTTTGGCTGTCAAAGAGTATTTATCCTGCCCTCCGTCCGACGTAACCAGTCGGATCCCATCCCCACGGGGTACTCGGGTGGAGAAAACATGGAGGACTTTGGAGTTGTCTCCCAGGTCGCGTCGGACGGCGCCAACGATAATTCGGGGGTGGGTTTGACTCGCGTCAGTGGCCGCTGTGACCAACTGACAGCCCAGAATCCCAGGGACCGGCCTTCGGAAGTCGTCCGTCGACGATGCCACGAACGGGTTTTTGCAGCCGATTAAGTGGGTCTTTCCTGGAGCTAAGTTCTGGCACAAAGCGGTCTTGAACCGAGGTAGCCTCTGTTAGTGCTGACTCCTGACTCTGCCCACAACTTTCATCAGCAACTACAAGTTGTCGAAAGGGATTTCAGCCACGATCAATGTCAGGTGATTGCGCTGATGGTTCCCGACATTCGATCATGTTATGCGCGGACCCACTGCGCTGAACTGACGATGATTCCACGGGCGCGACGGCGCTTCCGACATGCGACCCGACGCGACCCGACGCGAACTACCGGCGAGACATCTCCACTTCGCACGTGGGAAAGGCGAACCGGATCCTCGGGTCTGAGGAGATGCAATCAAGAATTGGCCAACACACGTGAGATGAACCGATGACGTTTGCTGGGAGAAACATTGGTTCGATGGCTTTCGTGTATTTGAATATCGTTGCTGGGTAAGCACAGGTTTCCCATGGTGTATACCTTTGAAAAGACAACAACCATTGAATCGCTTCAAGGGGCAGATATTCGAGTTGCGCGCTGATCAAGAGCCAAAAGTTTCAGAGGCATTTAGTGTGGCTGAACTGTGGCTGGGTGGCTGAGTTTAAGCTTGAGTGCATTTTGCGAGACGGTAGTCGGCCGGGCCTGGGCCTGAGGCCTAAACCCCGGCCTGAATCCCGCCTTTACGTAAGGGATCGGCTACACTACTTTATAGCCAGGTGCGCCTAGCGCTTATAGCTAGATTAATTAAGCTACTTTATATAGGTTATAAGCTCTCTAAATACCTAAATCTATCTACTAGATAGTGAGGTTATTCTTAAGTAGCTATTAGAACTCTAACTTTATAATTTAGTAATTACTAAAGGGTAATTAATAGATTACTAAGCTACTAAAAGTAATACTTCTAAGTAGAGATTATAGTTATTATAATATATATCCCCTACTTATAAAATCTCTTTAGTCTCTAAGTTACTAAAGTTAATAATTATTTAATAATTACTATAGTTATATAGTAATAACTACTTAATAACTATCTAATAATTACTTATAACTACTCTTTAAACTTCTCTTAAACTACTAAATTAATTAAATAAATTAATATATCTTTAATTAGTAATCTAACTCTATCTTCTTCTAGCTCTACTAAGAGAGGATTATTTTAATTAAGCCTTTTTAACTCTCCCCTTTTTTCTACTAACTTTATAACTAAAGTAGCTATATAGAAAGTAGCTAGTAAAAGATTAGATCTAAGAAGTTTAGTATATAATACTATTCCTAAACTAACTAAAGCTATAAGTTTTAAGTTATAGGAGATTAATCTTAAGAATACCTTTAAGGTAATAGGATTACTCTTCTACTTAATAGCTAAAAGGATATTAATTAAATATAATAGAGATATAATCTTTAAAAAAAATAAAGTAGTAGTAGTTAAAGATCTAAGCTTTTTAGATAATCTAATATTTATAGGTTTTATACTTACTAAATAGTTACTTATAGAGAAAATCTAATATAATCTTTTAGAAGAAATAATTAATAATAATCTTTCTATTATAGCTTTAGCTTTCTATATCTTTATTAAGACTAAAGAATATACTTAGAAGTTTAATAAGCTAGCTATAAGTAAAGTTTATAATAATTAAAATAGAATAACTAGAATTAACTATAGTAATACTAAGGATTTTATATAAGATCTTTACTTAACTTTTAATAAACTAAATAGTTTTAGTATAAGCTTATTAACTATAGCCCTCACTTATAGACTTATTTAAGGTTTTAGATATTTTAATTAAGTTAAAGTAGACTTTATAGAGAATAACTTTATTATAAGGATTTAAAACTATAATAACTTCTTATAAGAACTTAGAAACTTAAGTAAAAAGGAATAATATAAATAAGTCTTTTAAAGTATTAAAGCTCTACTAAATAAGAAGAAGTTTACTATAAAGAAGTAAACTTAAACTTCTAAGTCTAAGAGTATAGAACTATAAGATTTATATATTTCCTATAATATTAAGTATCCTAAGATTCTCTATAGATATAAAATATATAACTATTACTATAGAAAGATAATATTATACTTAGATAAATATAATAATTATTCCCTCAAATATTATAAGTATTATACTTTAATATATAATAAATTTAAGTATATTAATAAACTACTAATAACTTAGTAATTAATAATATAAGTATCTATTTTAGTATTTACCTTAGAAAGCTAAACCTAAGATAGTATCTTTAGAAACTCTAGTATTAAATAGGATATTAACTAATAATCTAAGGTTTTTATAGATACCTTATTAGTCTAAGCTTAGAAGAGGACCTTTTTACTATTCCTAGTAGAAGATTTTAGAGTATTTAGTTTATACTTTAACCCTTAACTTCTAACTAAAAATCTATATAAAATTATATATATATAGGGAGTTAAGAAGTAACTAATAAAAGAATTTATATACTCTAGCTATAGTTTTATTAATTAAGCTATAGATATAGAGACTAATAGTTTCTTTATATATAGTACTATTAAGGAAGTTAATAAAGAAGAAAATAATAATTAGGAAGTATAACTAAGTTAATATATTATATCTATAGCTTTAATTAGGAGGATAGACTCCTTTATACTAGATATTAATACTAGTAGATATATTCTTAATAATCTCTCTATCTTTAAGAAACTTTAAAATCTCCTTTAAGGATTAACTATAAACTATATAAGTAGAAAGGACTAAATTAACTAAGCTATTAATATAATTAGAGTAATTACTACTAAGCTAAGTAGTAAAAAGACTACTTTTTAACTATATAATACTCTCTATAAACCTTATAATATAGTATAAATTATTAGTACTAATCTTCTTTAGAAAATAGGTATCTATTTTAATAGTTTAGATAATACCTTAGTTTATAAAAATATATCTAAAGCTATTATTAACTTTAAATAGGATATATAAGTCTTTTAGCTTTAGATCTATCCTTCTAACTAAGGTAATAAATTTAGCTCTCTTAAGCTAAATTACTAAACTTTTTATACTTATTTAAAGTATCTATTTAGAGAAGTAACTATTACTACTATAAAAGATACTAATATAAACCTCTTTAGAATACCTCCTATAGGATATAAGTATTATATCTACTTTATAGTAAAATTAATATAATAACCTAGTAATAGATAATAAGAATAACTAATTTAAGTTTTTTAGAGGTTTTAGATTAACTTCTTAGAATTAATACTATAAAACTTTAGAGGTATTACTTATAGCTTTTATATTATAGAAGCTTTTTTAAATTATAAATAGTTCTAAGTATTTAAATTAAAGAAAAATATAACTATTTAGTTATAAAACTAGTTTCTAAGAAAGATTATAGTAATAAATAGTATTATTTACTTCTCTAAAGTTATTATAGATAATAATATAGCTCTTCTTAAAGTAATAGAGCTTTTTATTTAAGAATAAGGTTTTATCTTAGAAATAATAGTACCTTACTCTTATTAGTAGAATAAGAGAGTAGAAAGCTTTAATAAAGCTATATAGTAAAAAGTATAAATAATATATATAGAAACTAACCTTCCTAAATCTTTCTAACCTTAATTAATAAAAACTTCTATAGAAATTAGTAATCTATTATCTAATAATAAGGGTAATATTAATTCTTATAAGAAACTAATAAATACCTTTAATATATCTCCTACTATAAGAAAACTATATATATACTATCTCTATTACTAAGGTTACTAAATTTATATCTATATTTACTTAGATAGTTATCTATATATAAAAAGGTAAAAAATAAAGTTTAAAGCTAAGTTTAAAAGATTTATAAGATATAATAGCTTCTATAGTAATATCTTCTATATTCTTATTAAAAAGATTAATAATATTTAGTAAATAAGAGATATAATATTTAAAGAAAATAAAAGAAAGCTCCCCCTAGTTAAATTTAATAATTTATAGCTAAGAAAAGAGGTTAAGCTAGAAACCTATAAGTATAGTAATAAACTACTAACTATAACTTATAAAGCTAAGTCTTAGCTTTATAATTTAAATATAAGGTTATATTATTATCTTTATTCTACTAAATAAGAACTACTATAAGAGGAGGTAGATAATTTATACCTAAAAGAAACTTAAAAATTAAAAGGTAATAATAAATAAGAATAAGAAGATAAGCCTCTTTAAGAATAAAAAGAAGTTAGTAAAAAGGGAGGTAGTTTACTAACTTTAGATCTAAAACTATATATATTAGTATTAGATATTAGTACTATAAATATATAGGTATAATTAATACTAAAAGAAGTTTCTCCCTTATAGTAAAATAATTAATATATTCCTCTAGAGTAATATTCTCTTATTACTCTTTTAGAATAGAGATCTCCTATTACTCCTTAATAATAATAACTATTAGAGGATACTCTATAATAATAAGGCTCTCTTAGTATTTCACCTTAAACTCCTTAACTAATATGAGGAAGATAGAGGGAAAAACTAAGGGGTAGTAGTAAGGGCTCTATCCTTATAAGATTACTAAGAGTAATTACTTCTTTTTCTATTTAAATAACTTAAATACTTAGAACCTAAGTACTATATAATATAAAGAAGTTTAATAGGGAATTTAATAAAATAGAGGCTATAGA